ATATATATATATATATATATATATATATATATATGCGTGTACATATATGTTTATATATATACATGCATACATAGATATGATATACGCGTGTGCATGTGTGTGTATGTATGTATATGCATATCTAAGTCTGTAATGCCGTTACGTTGTTGTACCATATTATTGTGAACACCATTTCTCAGACATCGATTTTTTTAAAATAAAAAGAAAGTCTCTATCGACATATGCACTACAAGTACCAAGAGGCAGAGTATATCCGTCGATAAACGAAGGAACAAACGAACGATCTAATCGGTTTCTCGTCCAGTAACATTAACGATCGGACGCGGCTTTTTCGCCCCGTCTCCTCTGCAACTTGCGCGCTTTCACGCTCGAACTTTCGTCTTTGGTCCTTCCGCTCGACTTCCGTTCCGCCATATTGTCGCGTGTCACATCGACCTTCCGGCGATCGCTGGCAAACGCAAGGGAATAAACGTCAATTTCTAGCTCGTGGTTCATCGATTTTTTTTTCCCCCCCTCGGCTTCTCGACAACGAGACGGAATGGACGAGCAAGGACTGGACGATTTTTGCAATTTTCGGCAAACGAGCCTCCTCAGGCTCGACGTTCGTCTTTAGCTCTCGTCGAACGAGAGATCGACAGCGCGCTGTACACGACCGATAATTCCGCGATGTCACTCTGCGGAGATCAGAGACGCGACGAAGGAGCCCGCACGTCGGAGGATGTGCGCCGGGCGTCGCGTTGAAATTCGCGGGCGAACGAATCGACAGATAGATCGTCCATTAACTCTTTAACAGCACGATCAACGGTTGAGAGAAAGATATTCGAATATCACACGATACGACAATAGATTTCAGGTTCAAGGACCAACTTTGTTTTTTCTCGTCACTGTTGGTTGCCAAATTATTCTCCAAAAAAATTATGCTCGCTCTCAGCCTCAGCCTGACGAGATCTTCTGCGTGCTTTGCAATGTACAAAGAGTTAATGGGATTTCAAGCCTACTTTCTTAACGATTC